AAAAAAAAAAAAAAAAAAAAAGTGTTTGTGTTGTAAACCAGAGGCATGGGTGGGGGGCGGTAAAGTTGACTTTTAAAACTCTACAGGTACTTTGAACTTTTTGATAAAGCAAGGAGATAAGATCATAATTTTCTAGCCATGGACCATAAGTGGTATTTTATTTTCCAAACCTCTGCTGTTTGGACACAACATTTGAAAGGATTGTTGACGGGTTCGGTGTCTTAGCCTGTAATCCCAGCACTTTGGGAGGCCGAGGCAAGTGGATTACCTGAGTCCACAGGTTCAAGACCAACCTGGGCAACTTGGTGAGACCTCATCTCTACAATAAATCAAAAATTAACTGGGTGTTGTAGCGTGCACCTGTAGTTCCGGCTACTTGGAAGACTGAGGTAGAAGGATCGCTAGAGCCCAGCAGGTCAACACTGGGATGGCCATGAGTGTGCCACTGCACTCCAACCTGGGCAGCCAAGTGAGATTCCAACTCAAGAAAGAAAGAAAGGATTGTTAAAGTTCGTTAAGCACGTTCACTTTTATTTTCATAAAGTGAAGTTTAATTGTCCGTTTCTTTCCAGCTGTTCTTTAGAAACCTTTAGAAGTCCTTTAGAAGCCAGACTGCTGATGTTTCTGTTGGAAAATTATAAAATTACCACTTCTTTCTGAGCATCCTTTGTCATCAGAGTAGTAGCTATAAAGATGCTTTAGCCACTTACAAGTTAAAACTAGAATGTGTCTTAATGGGTTTTTCTTACTACCAGCTATGATTCATGCACTATGCTTGATACTAGGGATATATAAATTTTATGGCTGCAAAGTCTTTTATTTTAGCCTAGTTTAATCCAAAGGTGGTATAATGTAGTGGATAATATTAGAGTAAGACAACCTGGGTTGAAATCCCAGCTCCTGTACTGACTAGCACATTATTTAACTTCTGTTAACTTCCATCCATTTCCTTATTTGTAATATTGAATAACAACATCTTGGAGTCGTGAAGATTAAAATACTCTGTTTCCCATTCAGATACTGGTTTTTTAACCTCTTAGAAGAACTTGTAAGGAACAGCATAAGATTGATTAAGTAGTAATTTACTATTCTTTTTTCAGTGAACAACAGCAATTTAGGGTTAAGTTAGAAAATCAGTATATATGCACTATTTCCCAACTATTGATGCTTTTATAAAACTTGAACCTATTACCACCTGCCTTAAAAATTAGGGTTGGTAGGAATAGTCTTCTTGTCTGACAGTAATTTTCGGGGGTAAATCAAGTTGTATTTTAGTGGCTATCTCTGCTTCTGGATGAACTAAATGCCCGTGTCTTGATGACAGTATTTCATTTCTAAAAACTACAGGATGTTTCTCAGAACACAACTGGTTGTAGTCCATCAGAAAGAATGGCTTTTCTTCTTTTATCAAAATTATAATCTTTGTCAGTTACTCCGTATTTTTCTTATTTTATAGTCTAATGTTATAGGCCAGTGTACCTGTTTGGGTTTTTTTTGTACTGTATCTTCTTAGGGTTTCTTTAAAAGTCACCAGCTTGTAGATTTCTTATTCTTGTGTATAATCTTTTGAACATACTGGAATTTTTAAGTTAGAAAAAATGTTTTTCTTGTGCAATAGAATCTGTTTGCATTGGCTGGTGATGAAGAACCAGAGGTGCGGAAAAATGTATGCCGGGCTCTTGTGATGCTGCTGGAAGTTCGGATGGATCGCCTACTTCCTCACATGCATAATATAGTTGAGGTAACACAGGCAATTTAAAGGCTGTTCATCTTTCCCCCAGGAAAATTGTTGCATACAAAATGTATAATGGAAATCATAGTTTTCTAATTTATACAACATGCTGGGTGGATGCCTATAAAAAAATCATTGTGATTGTCTTAAAATTTTAAATTATCTTTGGGTTTTTTCTTTCTTATTTGAGATGTTATGGAAAAAGTTACTTAAGGGCACGGATATATCAATATGGATAACTAGGTAATGTTTTGGTTTTTGTTGACTGAAATGTGGGCTTAAACTAAATGATCAATCAATCTTTAAGAGATTAAATAGCATGTTCTTGTGTCATTAGATTTACAGTCCTTAGAGTTTAGAAACTTAGCTTTTAAGAGTTTCCTCTCAACCAATTACTGGTAAAAATTTATCTGATTAAGTTGTGGTTTGTGGAAATGATGAGATTTTTGACATAGCTATAATAGTTTCAGCAGACCAATTAAATTTTAAAAGACTCTCTTTCAATCCCTGTGTGATTAAAATGATTTTACTGGGAAGTTCTAAGTGCATTGATCACAGTTTAGTCATATGTAAAGGAAGAAATACATAATAACAAAATTATTATTATTAGAATTACTGTTTAGGCAATACTCAGTTACTGCAAGAGTCAAACAATACCATTTATATATTGTAGGGTATAGTTGTATGTCTACATATATAGCTTTGGAAATGTTTTTACATAGTATGTATTCTAGAGCCTCCCTTTCACTTCCAAAGTTTCATATCATATAGAGAAGGAGAATCTTTTTTTAAAGGATAAGGTCTAAGATCTGTTAAAAGGCTAGCATTCGTGGAATGCAGCAACTCCTGTTCTAAAAGCTTTAGGAAAAATAGTTGTAGAGATAAGAATATGTACCAACATAAGATGAAGATAAATGATATTTTCTCTGATGAACCTTTCTTGTCGAAGAGTCATATGGAATTGTTTGCAAAGATGAGAATGTGAAGAAATTGTATGTGAAGAAATTTTATCAGTTGCTAGGTCATAGCTGGAGGGCCTTAATGTATGATGTTAGTTTTTTTTCCAGCAGTATTCAGCATAGGAGTAGGACATGACGTGGCATGTAATAGGGGCTGTCATATGACAGTTGTGTTGCCGTATTTTGTCAAGTGAGATGTTTCGATCTAGAAGAGGGACTTGGATGAGGAATTAATTCATTAATTGACCCCATTTCTTGCCTCAGTGACTCTGGGAAGTCACTGGTGAATTTGGCTTGGTGTGTTGAGAGGAAATGATAAACCTATGTTATAAAGAATTATAAGCTATAGTCATGCTAAGAGATGCGACCACTTCTTTCCAAATCTTTTTTTTTTTTAATGATTTTTATAGTTTTGATGTGTTTATATCACTTTAGATTTGTGAAAGTCTATATATGTTACATGAGATAACTTTGGTAGTTCTGAGGAGTCTTCATTTTTAGAAAGATACAATGAAGGCAGGCGTAGTGAAGGCTCATGTCTGTAATCTCATCACTTGGGGAGGTCAAGGCCAGAGGATCACTTGAGGCCAGGAGTGTGAAGCAGCAGTGAGCTGAGATCATGGCACTGTACTCCCGCCAGGGCAACCAAGTGAAATCCCATCTCAGAAAAATAAGAACAAAATAAATAAATATATAATGGAGTTCTTTATGTTTCTAAGAAGTCTTAATATTTGATTAGCATTCACATTTTTAAAATCTCAGTGGTTTAATAAAATACACTTACACAGAAACGGATAAACAGTACTTGAACTGCACACTCTTCATTGGGCAATATTCTAAATCAGTGGTTCTTAAATGTAGCCACATTTTAGAATCAATGTAGGAAGCTTTAAAATTCAGAAGCCTAGGTTGAAACCCACAATAAAGTCAAAGGCCTGATACAGGATAGAGTTTATATTAATTGTGTGATTTAAACTGATTAATATTAAGGATCCTTTGTTTACAGTACATGCTACAGAGGACTCAAGATCAAGATGAAAATGTGGCTTTAGAAGCCTGCGAATTTTGGCTAACTTTGGCTGAGCAGCCAATATGCAAAGATGTACTCATAAGGCATCTTCCTAAGTAAGTGTTCCGTCTTGTAAATGCAGCCTTGTTCTTTAATTTTTTCACAGTGGTTCCTCATTTTATATTTTTATAAAATTTATTCTTCTGCCATCAGGGAGTGAGGTTCTAAAGAAGTCAGACTCAATTTTATTGTTGATATAATAAGTAAAAGAATTTTTCAAAGTAGTGCTTACTTTTTTCTGAAAATAAAGTAATATGGGGTCATAGAAGACAGTTCTAAGTTTTCTGGATTTTCATCACCCTGAGTAATCACGCTCAGTATTTTTGGTGTGTCATCTCTCAGTGTTTTTTTGTTTTTATTTTCTATGAAAGTACCATATACTGAGTGCCACATATTTTGGGTATTTGGGGAAGAATTTGGTTTGATAATATATAGTGTGCTTAACATAAAAATTAGTGCTTAAAATTTGGTTACACTGTTTTTTCAGTTATTGTATGCTTTGTATTTTTCTCCATTACATAAGTCTTAAAAACGTTAGTAGTAATAATCCATTGTGGTGTACGTACCATATATATCAAACTGACTACTATTACATGTATTTTCTCTGTTGAATATTTAGGTTGTTTGGCTTTTTCTAATCATTAATAATCCTAGAGTGAACATCTTTCTTTGTCCATAAAAGGTTATTTCTTTCTGTTAGAATTCCTAGGAGCAGTTTTTTTCAAAGGTCAAAGTATGTGAGCATTTTAAAAGCTCTTCGTAAATATTCTAAATTTTTCTCCAGGAGACTTATATTGGTTTACACCCCACTAGCAATATCTATTCTGTCACAACTTTGTCAGCCATTAATTTTAATTTCTCTAATCTTAGCCATCTGGATGAGCAAAAAACAAAAATTCGGATTTGGTCGTTGTTCCCCCCCCCCCCCCAGTAAAATCTTTCTCCAACAAGGAAACAGCAATTCTCATCAGTCAGGAATTTATTTAAGGGAGTGGGTAAGGTGTGATGCACCAAATAGATTTTTTTCTCTTCAGAAAATTCATGTATTATTCTTTTTCTCTCTAATTTGTAATACCATTTTTGTGATCTCTTTGAGTCTTACAATGGGGTCATACAATTCTTAAAGTCATAAACATAATTTTTATAGAAACTGAAGAGATTCTCTTAATAAAAATGTAGGCTGTACCATTAGAAGATAGTATTGAAAATATACATTTATAACTAGGTTCTCTAACTCCATCATGACACTAATATAATCTAAACATTCTTAAAATATGCAGGAATTTGGTAGCAGGCTAAAAGATTAGCGCCTGCTCTTTTTTGAAAAACAAGTACTATACTATTTTGATTATGAAGCATTTAATTTTTTTTTAATCTGGTAGAGCAGTTCTTCATTTCACTGTTTTCCCCCCAAAAAAATTGAGTTTTTCCTACCTTTGTTCTTGTGCATTAATATCTTGCAGGGCTGTTATGTGGATTATCCATATATAATAGACTAATGCCCAGCACATATTAAGAATTCAGTAAACATTTATTGTTGGTATTAGCACCTTTATGTGATGTTACATTAAAATCTCTTATTTTTAATAGCTGCAATGAGGCTTTAGGAGAAAGCTTCTTAACAGTTAGGCCCATTCAAAAATAATGATCTGCCTTGCATGATTGGAGTTGGTCAGACACATGCCAGATTGCCATATGGTCAGAGTTAACTTCCATATTTCACTTCCTACCTCAATCTTACTTTCTGAGCTTTACCAACACCTTATTTTCTAAAAGCCTTACTAGGCCCATCGGCCACCCCATGCCAAGACCCTTGATCTCTTTGTGTTTTAATCTCAAATTCTTTTATTCCTTCCCTGTCTGACATCATAACCACAAATAAACCATACTGACCATAAACTGCCATCTAACCTGCATCTGTCTATCTGCACTCTGGATTAACTGAACTGTTTTCACGTCTTTAACTAGACTGTTGATTACTATTGGGGAAGGTTAGTGTCTGGGGGATTGTTGGCTGTGGAAATCCATGGTTTTCATCTTTAAGTGAACCCTTCACACTACTTGCTAGCCCTTGTTTCAGATCACTTTTTATCTTTCATTCACTGGAGCATCTATTTCAGATCTTTATTACTCTTCTAAAGTTCTCTTCATTCACTTTGAGCACTTCTGCTTAATAGAGAAAGCAGGTGATCATTCATCTTGCCTCTAAATTTACAGAGATGTTTTCATGTGAATTGTCCCCTCCTAACCCATCTTTCTACTTAAACTATGCATAGTATAATTGTTTTGTCTTATACTGAGGGACCTTACTGCATCAGATAGATATATTCTCTTTCAACTTTTATTTTTTCATAACTTTTTTAGCTTGCTGCAAATTTTTTCTTTCTTAAAAAAATTCAAAGAGTAGATGGGGCTCACTGTCTTTACTTTAGCACACATCTGGTTAACTCTTCATTATCTCATAGTCTGACATCTGTTCTCACCATTTCTTTGAAATTGTTGACAGAGAAAATCATCAGTGATTTAAACTGTTAGTGATCCAGATTCCTGCAGAATACCTGTATCTTACAAAATATAGCTCTATTTATATAAATCTTGCCTAGTTAAATTATGTTAGCTATAATGTTTAATTACTGTAAATCTTTATTTTAGAATTTAGAAGACGTTGAGCATGAAAGTTTGGCTGGCCCACATTTTTAAAATCTATCTAGAGAATTTTACATTTCACTGCTTCCTTTTCCCTATTATTATTCCTTCACTAAATGAAGGTAGGCATGTATATCCCTGGTGCTCAAAGACAGTATTACCCATGGCTGTCTCTTTGGTTTTATGATTATACATGAGGTTGCTAAGACTTGTTAATTATTCTAATGAGATCTTTAGATCTTTGTTTTATGAATTTTTTTATAGGTTGATTCCTGTGTTGGTGAATGGCATGAAGTACTCAGATATTGATATTATCCTACTTAAGGTAAGGACATTTTTTGACAAATAAGGAAGGTGATTTTTATGTTGACTTAGTACATCTTTGGATTTGGGCTATAAAACATTTATTAGACTATATGTAAATAGACTTTCTGCTATATATAATAGGCCACAGAAGTTCAAAGGTTAAAAACAAACATAAATTTGGATGATAAATTCTTGCTTAATTGAAACTACATGGTGCTATTAGTAGGGCTATCCTTAATTTCCCCTTGATTATTACTTGGAGTTTATTTTAAAGTATTACTTTGGGAGGGAGTTGGGGTCTCACTCTGTCACCCAGGCCAAAGTGCAGTGGCACAATCATGGCTCATCCCAGCCTTAATCCCCTGGGCTCAGGCAATCCTTCTGCCTCAACCTCCCAAGTAGCTGGGGCTACAGATGCTTGCCATCATACTCAACTAATTTCTTGATATTTTGTAGAGATGGGTTCTTGTTATGTTGCCCAGGCTAGTCTCGAACTCCTAGACTCAAGCAGTCCTCCCGCCTCAGCCTTTCAAAGTGCTAGAATTAGAGGTATGAGCCACCATGCACCACTAAAAGTATTACTTCTTAAATATGTTGATCTGAATTTGATTAAGGTAAACTTAGATTACAACAGTGGAGGTAGTGTAGTTGACTGAAAGGGCCTGATATCCTAACAGGTGTTACGTGTTAGTCTGTTCTCCCCTTTGCAAGGCATATTTTCTATACTGGGGGTGGTTCTTAATCACTCAGGAATTATACTTCAGAATCCTGTGCGTGCCCTTCTCTGGACATTCTGATTCTTTGACTAACGTACATATTATTAGCTTATAGTGAATGACACCAAAGATTTTTCTTTCAACAAAAAAGGGTGACGTTGAAGAAGATGAAACGATTCCCGATAGCGAGCAGGATATAAGGCCACGTTTTCATCGATCAAGGACAGTAGCTCAGCAGCATGATGAAGATGGAATTGAAGAGGAAGATGATGATGATGATGAAATGGATGATGACGATACAATTTCGGACTGGAATCTCAGTAAGTCAGAGCAGGGAAAAGCGCAGTTGCCTGCTTTGAGGACATGGCTGCAGAGCTTTTCCTGCTTCTTAACATAGGTGGGGGTTTTGTGATGATTTGTGTGAGAATTGGCTGTCATACATAATTCCAGAATAATAGGATATTCTGTTCTATAGTCAAATTGTCTTCTGTAATATAACAAAATAATACAAACACAATAGCATGTAATATATACATTATGCTATAAATAGGATATAATAATAGCATAATGTAAATGGCTTTGTCGTATTTAAAACTTACAAAATGTGCTTTTTAAAATAAATTAATTTTCACTCTTAACTGCAAATCCACATCATCTGTGTAGCTGGCATTCTGGCCCACATTCTCAACTGAGGAGGAGCCTGTATACCTTGTCTCTATAAAATATCTAAAAGTTTGCTAGGTGTGGTGGTGCACACCTGTCATCCCAGCCACTCAGGAAGCTGAGGCAGAAGAGTTGCCTGAGCCTTGGAGGTGAAGGCTGCAGTGAGTCCTGATTGTGCCAATGCACTCCAGAAAAAAAAGTATCGAGATTTTTCATACCTGCGATAACATGGTTAAAAACATGCATCATCAGACTGGGCTTTGTAATTCATTTGGTTAGATAATGCTAATTCTTCTGTTGCCTCTTCAGTTTCTTTTAGAGTGCTTTAATGTGCCAGACACTAGGCCAAGGACTTTGAATGCATATCATGTTTAATCCTTCCAACAGTCTTAGATGGGTAAGACAACTACAAGAAGAGAAACGTATCTAAAGTTAGCATAGCTAGTACTGAAGGTACATGCAGTGTTGGAACCCAAGTCTTACTTATCTCAACAACCCAAGGTCTTCACGCTGTCACAAACCTACCTCCCGGTGTATTCCTGCTTTCAGATTGAGCAGCACAATAGATCAGAGTTATAGATAACTCTACAAAAGTAATAAGTACAATGGAGGGGACACTTCCTTATCACATTCTACTCATCTTTATATCCTTCCAGAAGCTTTTTTGCACATGTGGAAAAACATAGATCTTTTTTGGAGGAGAAATATTTCCAAAGATGAAACCAGTTTATATATATTCTGGGGGTTTTTTCCTGTAAATTGTGTGCCTTGTTCTAAATTAGTTCATACAGATTTCACTTGCATGGATCTGCCATATGGTGTAACTAAGATTCGTATTGATGGGTAAGGTGTTAACTTCTGGCCAGTGTAATTGTTTTATTTATTTTTTTAATGCAGAGGATTTTATTATTATCTAATAGTTTGTGATTAACCATTTCCTTCCTCTGCCTAGTTTACATTAGAAAAATGTTGGTACTTTCTTAGTTCATTCATTTTGTGCTGCTATAACAGGATACCTGAGAACTGGGTATTTATAATGAACAGAAATTTATTTGGCTTGTGGTTCTGGAAGCTGGGAAATCAAGGATCAAGGTGCTGCACCTGACCTTGCTTCCCATGACAGAAAAGCTAAAGAGCACATGTGAGAGGAGAACTCACTTTTAGAATAAACCACCTTTCTCAATAACTCACTCACTCCTGCATTAAAGACATGAATCCATTTACAGAGCTTTCATGACCTAGTCATCTCTTTAGGCTTCCAACATTGTCAGATTGGGGATTAAGTTTCCAACACATGAACTTTGGAGGACACATTTCAGTCCATAGCAGTTAAAATTATATTTTTTGTTATTATTTTTGTATAAATTATTGTCTTCTCTAAATTGTATTAATGAAACATGAATTAATTTATAGTCTCATAGCTAATCCTTTGTCTATAAAGAGAAGAGTATTTTCTAGCTTATTGCATGCTTCATGTGTTGGTGACTCGTTCCAATGTATGCACCTAACTTCCAACTAATTAATTACATATTTGATTCTAAATTATTTACCCACTAGAAATATTAAGTGGTGTTAGCTATGTGTTTTGCTACAGGATTGTAGCAGTGGGTATCATTACGTAGACATAATATTGGAAGCATTGAATTGAGTCAAACAGTATTTGTTTTAATTTTTCTGTATAGGCAAAAGAATTCTAGTATGACAATCATGTAGAGAATAGAATGTCTTCATAATTTGCTAATTCTTTGTCATAAAAAGTATTCCTTTTAATTGAGAATTTTTTCATGTGGCAGGCTACCTCCTATTGAAGTCTTTGAAACTCTGTAGAGATATGAATAAAGTATGTATACAGTAAATGCTTGTTTTACCTATGTGATTAAACATTGAGATTAATATAATTCCTTGGATTTAAATATTTTCCTAGGAAAATGTTCTGCTGCTGCCCTAGACGTGCTTGCAAATGTGTACCGTGATGAACTGCTGCCACACATTTTGCCCCTTTTGAAAGAATTACTTTTTCATCATGAGTGGGTTGTTAAAGAGTCAGGCATCTTGGTTTTAGGAGCCATTGCTGAAGGCAAGTCCAAGTCCAGTTTGATTTATAAAGTTCTGTATAGGTACTAATAAGGCTCGCTACTTCAAGGAACTGTTACTGCTATGTAAGTAAAGACTTCACACTCTTGAATTCACATACTACTTTGCTCTCATGGTGCTGGTGTGGGGTAGACAAGACTGTGATACGAACTAACTTTAAAGGGACAATTGAATACAAAATCTGTCTCAGGATAAATTTGTACTTTGAACTCCAGTTAACTATGAAACAGCCATAGGCTTGCTTCTCACCCCTGCCACATAGATTGCAGATACTTTTGTTAAAACAAATGGAGCAGATTGAGAGGACTCTGTCTGAAGCATCCTCTTGCTAGAAAACTATCTTTATTTTCTAGGTAAGTGTAGGAAACTTAGTAAGGCAAGAGTGTTGTCATTCTCTTTATATAAAGAGTTATTTAACATCTATTACAAGAAATTGAAACACTTCACAGGCATTTCTGAAAGCTATAATTTGTGTAGCATAGGTAAAATTAGGTTGTATTGTAAAATACTCAGGAGCAGTTAACTCTAATTTCAGTTTTTTAAAAATTATTTTTGTATAGATTATTATATATTTATATCATTGGAAATATTTTCAGTAATTTCATGGATACATGGATCATGTTAGTGTTCCACAAGAAAAATTTTAACCAGATTTTAGCACTTTGAAAGATTTCTGTTATTTTTTTCTAGGTTGCATGCAGGGCATGATTCCGTACCTGCCTGAGCTTATTCCTCACCTTATTCAGTGCCTCTCTGATAAAAAGGCTCTCGTGCGTTCCATAACATGCTGGACTCTTAGCCGCTATGCACACTGGGTAGTCAGCCAGCCGCCAGACACGTACCTGAAGCCGTTAATGACCGAATTGCTAAAGCGTATCCTGGATAGCAACAAGAGAGTACAAGAAGCTGCCTGCAGGTGGGATGAATCATAATGCAGCGTTCTTTGTGGGAGTGGGATCTAAGTGAGCAGCTTGTTTTCAGCCTTGGGGTGGAATATTGGCGTTAAACCACACGTGGAGTATTTCATGATGAAAACATTTCAGCTATGCCAGGAAGTTCAGTTTTCCCTTTTTCTTGAGGTTTTTCAGGTCTGACCTGTAACTTTTGGGCTTGCACATTAGCATACTTTATACGTTTCCTTTGGCTGGAAACATATCATGTACTTATAGCTTTTACCTGATCATTTTATAAATCTAAATATAACACTAACTAGACATCAGTGTTGGCTGTTTCTTCCTTGGCTCATTTTTTTCTTACCCAGTGGCAACAAAATCGTCTTATACCCTAATTCCCTTAAACATCTGAAGTGGTAATGGCAGGACTCCTACTCTGGAAGGAACGACAAAGTTTGAGCAGATTCACATCCTTAGACTACAGGTCAACCACCGTAACTCCATAAAAAGTCCCACAGTGACCTCTGCTCTGTCACTTTGTATCAACTAAGGCTCTTGGGTGCTTTGTAGATCTGCTTCAGTAGCTGTTATATTGGTTAGTTTGGGGGCTGTCTCTTTATATCAGACCAACATTTGCTTTCATTACTACAAACACCCCAGTTTCCCGGACAAACTTAGGTTCTAAAAGGGCCAGTCACTTATGTTTGTAGCTCTTGATTTTTCAGGTAGATTTGCATTTAGCGTTGACTTTGGTAGGAAGAAATAACTGTTGAAAAAGTGAAAATAAATTTGATTGGGACCTTAATAGATCTGAAACAGTAATATCTGGAAAGGTTTCAGTTCTTAGTGAAATGAAAGAAAGTTAAACAAGGGGAATATGGTGATTAATAGTACTAAATTTTTTTGAAGAGGGTCGTGGGGGGCGTGTAGATTATATTGGATTTCCTGTAGTTTATTCACTTTTTTAAAGCTATTGTTAAGTCCATACTCAATGCTGGGTTTATAGTCCCTGCCATTTTGAAACTTACAGGCTAGTTGAAAATATCAAACAACTTTATAATAATTTATGGCAAGTGCTACAAAGGAAGTGGAAGGATAGTTCACAGTGCTGGTGAATAGGGTTTTCATTAACAAATGGCGTAAGCCATTTTAGGAAATTGTCTATTTAACCTAATAGATAAAGCCATACACGTGAGGCATATTTATAGTAACAGTTGTGCTATACACTTTAATGCATAGTGTAGGAGTTATAGAAACATTTGAGGAGGTGTGATACTGCTGTGCTCTTATCTCAACAATAATGTTGAAATGTTTCATTTTGTGACCTTTGGTATGCATGTAAAGTGGAGTATAACATGGTATGCATGTAGAGTATAACAGTCTGAATTCTGATTTCTTTCATCTAGAATGGTCACTAGAATGTAAGCTCCCTGAGAAAGAGGACACTGTTTCGTTCGTTGTATATTCCCAGCCCTCAATGATGAAATAAACATGTTAAAAGAATAAATACAAAGACCAACAACATTTTAGTTTTAGATTTTACCATAGTAGTAAATCATCCATAAGCGAATGTCCATGGATGACAGCCTCTTAGAAGGAAAGAAATGATGAGGAATGGAAAAGAAATAATGAAAATCTGGTGTGATTGAGTCAAGGATATAGACATATAAAGTGTAAATAGATGGTCTATAAATAACAAGCTTAGTTTTCTGTTTTCGTGAACGGTTCCTTTTATCTACATGGGTCCGTGAAGCAGTGAAGAAAGCTGCTCCTTTTGTGCACCACTAAGTGTTCTCTCTTTGTGAAATTACAGTGCCTTTGCTACCCTAGAAGAGGAGGCTTGTACAGAACTTGTTCCTTACCTTGCGTACATCCTTGACACCCTGGTCTTTGCATTTAGTAAATACCAGCATAAGAACCTGCTCATTCTTTATGATGCCATAGGAACATTAGCAGATTCAGTAGGCCATCATTTAAATAAACCGGTAAGTGTCAGTAATTAACTGTTATGGAAAGTAGTGCTTAGCATACTTCTAGCCAATAAGTTGATGTATATACAGGAATCAAAAGCATTTTGGAAAACGTAAGCAGATAGTGTTGATAGTGTTTGCTGCTGTAAGGCGGGGGGCGGTGGCTCACACCTGTAATCCCAGCACTTTGAGAGGTCGAGGCAAGAGGATTGCCTGAGCCCAGGAGTTGGAGACCAGCCTAAGCGGCACATAGCGAGACCTCGTCTCTACAAAAAAACCTGCCAGGCACGGTGGTACATGCCTGTAGTCCCAGTTACATTGGGAGGCTGAGACAGGAGGATCTCTTGAGTCTAGGGGTTTGACACTAACTCAAAATAAAAATTAAAAAACCACACTCACACACAAATAGTGTTTTTAAATAATCCTTGCTTGGTGTGGAAATTGTCGTAGCATTGCACATGGATGCACTAGCCCTTTTGGGGATGACTGAAGGAAGGAATATTAAAAAGTTCTCATGCTCTAGATTTCTACTTTTACTTGATTTTGAGTGTTTCGTATCTTCCACTTCATAAACACTGTAGCTTTAGAGTACATCTAGACCTCTTTGTTTTTCTCACCAGAATGTGTAAGTATGGGGAGTATACACTATATAAAACAATTCGAAACTGGTGTGTAAAGGGTTTAAAATGCTGGGCTCTGTAGCTTGTGCCTGTAATCCCAGCACTTCGGGAGGCCACGGTGGAGGGTTGCTTGAGCCTAGGAGTTCAAGACCAACTTTGGTGAACATTAAAACATTTTTTTAAAGACCCAGAATGAGACCAGGCTCAGTGGCTCAGCCTGTAATCCCAGCGATTACAGGCTATACTCTGTTCTCCAGCATTCGATTTTTTTTTTTTTTAATGCTAAATAGTGGGACAAGAGAAGTATCTTGCCTCAGTAGTTTTAAGAGGGAGGAGGTGGGCCGGAGGTGATTATTTATTTATTTATTGTAGAGATGAGGTCTTGCCAAGTTGCCCGGGCAGGTCTTGAACCCACGGGCTCAGGCAATCCATTCACCTCGGCCTCCCAAGGCACAGGATTACAGGCTGAGCCACCGAGCCCGCCTTAAATAAGGACATTTAAATGAATCTCTTTTTCTACACCTACTTCTATAAATTTACCTGCATTTAAAATTATAGCAATAGCCATATTGCATGTTAAAGGCACCAGGACTAAAAGATTATGTCACTTAAGAGTAAAACTTAGATCTTCCTTGATTGTGTTTTAACAAGTAATGCATTTTAATATCACAATATATTTATATACATTTTGCTTCAAAAAAGATAAGAGATGACTTGAATAGACAAAGTCATATAAATTAAAAAGCAGGCAAGAGAAAGGAAGGTTTTCAAAGGAACTACATAGAGCAAAGATTGAGTCTTAAAATGCCTTCTATAATTTTACACAATTGCTGTAAATTGGTTCTAATTTTCATAGGCTAAAATGAGCTTGTATACATATGATAGTGAAACTTTGTTTTTTATTGTAAATAGGAATATATTCAGATGCTAATGCCTCCACTTATTCAGAAATGGAACATGTTAAAGGATGAAGATAAAGATCTCTTCCCTTTACTTGAGGTGGGCTAAGCTGGTAAAACGTAATCTAACAGTGTGTCTAACTAGAAACACATGTTTAAATCCAAAATGGGTATATGTGATAAGAAAAGTGTTAGTAAATTTATATTCTTCAGTAGACAAAGGATCATATTAGACATGTTTTGTAACCTGCTCTACCTCATAAATTGTAGTTTAAACATCTTGTGTTATTTGCTTTATATTTACATACTGTATACTCACACGTGTTGGGACTTGGTGCCAGTAAGGAGGAACTTTGTCTTTTCTGTCTCATTTGACGTTTCTTTTCATGTGTGCTTCCTCCGTTTTTTTAGCCCCCAAATTATTTTATATGATGTTTAAGTAGCTGAACACACTGGGTATAGTGACTTAAACCTAGTTTAATTGTCATTGATATAGTCAGTTGTTTTCATTATTGTTTCCCCTGTTATTTCAGAGATCACCAGATTTTTGCCATTGATTGTCCTCAGCCAGAGAAGTTAAATTAAATCTCTTGTGACTACGAGTAGTGACTAATTCTGGGCCCAACAAAACAAGAGGAATCATTGTTGTGACTCATTTCTTGTGTACAGTCATTCCTCAGTATCCTTAGGGGATTGGTTCCAAGACTCCCTGTGGATGCTAAAATCAAGGCTGCTCAAGTCCCTTATATAAAATGATATTGTTTTTGCATGTAATATGCACGTTGTACCAGTATACTTTAAGTCGTCTCTAAATTACTTATACCTAATATAACGTAAGGGCTAGTAAATAGTTGTTTTACTATAGTGTTTAATTTTCTTTTTTTAAAATACTTTTGATCTGAAGTATGAACAAATAATAGTAAATCTTTCCTTGAAGAGTAATGTTTATTATAGAAACTTCTCTTCCGAGTGTGCCTGTCCTGATTGACCGGCAAACTAACAACGAATGGCTTCCAAAGGAGAGGCTTGAAAAAAATCAGCCTGCTACTATAGACATTAGTAGAACAGACTCGTCAGCGGCCCGCATCTTACTGAGCGCCATTCAGGCGTTTGTCCCAGTCTTAAGTCCGCCCAGGAAGTGAGCAATGTGCTTCATTCACTCTAGTGCCTGTCTTCGGTTGCCACCGCCCTGCAGTCTGGCTTCCTTCCCTACTGTGAACCCGTGTATCAGCGCTGTGTCAACCTGGTACAGAAGACTCTTGCACAAGCCATGGTATTTTTTTCAATATCTTTCCCTTCTCGGCATCATAAGCATGCAGACTTCTTCAGTAGTTGGCTAAAAGCAAACTTCGAAAAACATGTGTCTAATTTCAGCTGAATAACGCTCAACCAGATCAGTATGAGGCTCCAGATAAAGATTTTATGATAGTGGCTCTTGATTTACTGAGTGGCCTGACAGAAGGACTTGGAGGCAACATTGAACAGCTGGTAGCCCGAAGTAACATCCTAACGCTGATGTATCAATGCATGCAGGTGAGACCTGCAAGGTTACAGTAAATTGAAATCTGGCTCTCTGTGTCACCTTGGAGTTAATTTCTTCTTCTTTCTTGTAGGATAAGATGCCAGAAGTTCGACAGAGTTCTTTTGCCCTCTTAGGTGACCTGACAAAAGCTTGCTTTCAGCATGTTAAGCCTTGTATAGGTATGAGTATGTTCTACTGATATGAATATGGTTTTTAAAAATCGTTTTTATATCAGCTTTATTTTTTATTAGTAAACTGAAACTGCATGGAATCCCAGTATTTCTAAGTATGCATTTTACTATTTATAGTCAAGTTGCTTTAACTGAAGCAGATAGAATGGGAGAAAACCTCTGTTTTCTTGAATTCACCATCACTTTAGCAGCTTTGGAGGCACTCCTGTGACTGCAGGAAAGTTGAGTAGTATGATTTAGAGTTAAAGGCCATGCTCACTAGTGAAGCTTTGGTACTGTGTGGTAGTTAATGAATAGTTGTTATTTTTGCTTGGTGCTCTGTGCTAGTTAACTGGTGGTGGTGGTGGTGGTGGTGGTTTGAGAAGCCTCTTTTTTGGTAGGGGTACCCAGAAATAGTAATAATCTGATTTTCTTCTCTAATAAACCAGCATACTTTTTCAGATACCATAGAAAACGTCCAACAAATACCACATTTAAAAGTAAATGAGTTGTTAATCTATTTTAATTACATAGCATTTGTCTTGGCCTTTTGTGAAGGAAATAAGGGACTTTTTGAATGTTGTATCCTGAATTGTTCTCAAACTCATGGGCTAAATGGACTTTTTCCCCCTTTCTATATCCCAGTGTGTTAAGTGAGAGTTGTTTATAATATTTTATTTAACTCTTAGTTTAAAGCATTGACATGGGTGGTTTTTCATTTGATACAGTTGTGTTTTTGAGTAATAACCGTATTTTTGAACCTTGAGTAATAGCATTAATCATAATATATTAAGAATCATCAAGTTTAAGCCTAATGAATTTTTGTTTTATGGAAAGTTTGTCGTATACTTTTTATCTCATTTAGTTTGGGGATGTAAGCTTGCTTTTTTTTTTTTCTTTTTTCTTTTTCTTTGAGTCAGAGTGTCACTCTGTTGCCCAGGCTGTAGTGCAGTGATGCAATCGTGACTCACCACAGCCTCTACTTTCTGGGCTCAAATGATCCTTCTGCCTCAGCCTCCTGAGTAGCTAGGATTACAGGCATGTATCACCATGCCCAACCAGTTTTTGGGTTTTTTGTTTGATTGTTTTTGTAGAGACGGGTCTCGAACTCTTTCAGCTCAGGCAGTCCTCCTACCTTGGACTCCCAAAGTGTTGGGTTTACAGCATGATCTACTGCACCTGGCCAGGTTCAAGCTATGTGAAGGAATTTAGTTTTCATTTTTTTGCTTTTTATTGTTAAAAAAAAAAAAAAAAATGTTGAGAGCACAAAAATAGAAAAAAAGTTTAACAATCCCCCCTATCATCCATCCTCCACTGTTATCAATACATGTCCAGTTAAGTTAAATTGTGGCCCAGAGTACAAAGCAGATAGGAGAGGTGGGATAATTATTTGATTATTTTCATGTCTTTGCCTATTTCCAAAATAATGAATTAATTCCCAGTGTTCTTCAAACATATCTTCAGTGTTTTCAGAGTTTAGTTTGTGTTGGTTTTTTTGGTTGTTAGTATGATCTCATGATATTCCAGTTGTGCTGCTAGCAGTGGGAACTTAACCAAGTTGGCTTGTGAGTCCTTCCTTTAGTGACAAAATAGCCCAGACTTATTTTTCATATTTACTGGAGTGTGACATATTACTGAGAGTCTTTAATGGTTTTTAGTGGAAGATAGTTAGAGACCACAATGTAAACTCTAGGTGAAAGTTGCTTTACAAGCCAAAATCGTTGATTTTTTTAACAGTTTTTTCTATATATGAAAAGCCAGGTTTAAAGAAATTTCTTTTTTTCATGTTTTCTCCACTTGCACTTTGAATTTTCTTAGTCTGACGACAAGCGATTACTCCGACCAACTCTTTTTAGTGACAGGTAAAATATACCAAAACTGTGTTTTCTGTTCTACTTAAATGAAAGTTAAGTAGTCATGTATTGCCTGCCTCCTTCGGTTTCTTAAGATAAATATGACCGTTTTCTTTTACAATATTTTTAAATACAGTTGCCTTTTTTTTCACCAATTTTATAATCCTTGTCGCAATATTTTTTTAATGGTGAAAAGTGGTATTTCTTGGCTAGATTTCAGGTTTCTACCTAGGAGATTTTCTTTAAAGTACAATACACTCCTATTGAGAAGTTTGCTACACAGTTTAATGTATTTTTTTTCTAGCCGATTTCATGCCAATATTGGGAACCAACCTAAATCCAGAGTTCATTTCAGTCTGCAACAATGCCACATGGGCAACTGGAGAAATTTCCATTCAAATGGGTAAGATTTTTTCGCCCTCATTAAAAGTACACATTTTTAGGTGCCTTGATATTTCTGTAATTGCTTTTTAAGGTTTAAATTATTTTTCTTTGTATGTATGACATGTCAGTATTAATAAGGGACACAAAATATTTCATTTTGACATTCAGTTTTCTTTTTTTCTTTTCTCTTGGGATGACCTAGGTATAGAGATGCAGCCTTATATTCCTATGGTGTTGCACCAGCTGGTAGAGATCATTAACAGACCCAACACACCAAAGACGTTGTTAGAGAATACAGGTACCATTTGACTGAACTGTTTGAGTGGACAAAGAATTAGTTGCCTTTCAGTTTTACATTGAGATGCGTAGAGAAACCAAAGCAAAGCTAGCTTTTGAAACCCAGCTTATTATTTATTTAACAGCTATTTTGGATTCTCGCTAATGAAATGTACTGGTTTAATTACAGTCTATAATTAGTTTTCAGAAACTTTTGAAAACCGCTTTTTCCGTTACTTGAGTGTTTTAACATTTACTATATGGATCCGAGCTAAGATAATGGAACCATATGAATTTTGCTTTTAAATTAATTAGAAGAGAAACTGGGAACTCGGAGGTAGTAAAAATGTGGCCAAAAATAGATTGCGAGTTAGTGGCTGATTGGTTAACAACAGCGTATGTAGTTTGTATCTCATCATAATTTTCTTCATAATGGGAATTTAGGCAGTATTATGGGATTGATTTTTAATTTAGGAGGCTTGTTTCTCTTTTGCATTTATAGAGAGCATGTTTTATAGTAAAGAGTACCTTCCATACTATAGAACACATTTAGGAATGATTGGGTCTTTTCTTTGATTGTTAACTTACAGTGATGAAAGATTTAAATTTCATTTTCATTCAGGCACATCCCTTATATACTAAGATAATTCTCATAATTTATTCCTAGTCAATGAGCATCCTATCAAAAGACTAGACAAAGATCAAAATAAGATTTTCCAAATAAGAAAGTTCCTTTTAAAAGGCATTTTAATTTGGTATTTTTAGATTATTTTATTCTAATGTGATTAAAATGGATGTTTATTGGTATGGAAGGAAATCTTTTAAGTATGAAACAGTTATCTGGCTGTTTGGCTGTATGGGTACTGTTTATTTCAAAAAATGAATTTGGTTTTCTTGCTGGAAAGTATAAAAGTCTGTGTTTAGGGTGGTGATGAAATATTGTCAGGTTTTTATCTCTTCAGAATGCAGTACCTATACATGACATTCAGATTTGAAACACTTGCCATTATAAAATAATTGTTGAACCTAAAGAAACTTCTATTTATTTTTAAATGTGAATGCATAACTGCAAATAAATGTTGAGTGTAATGTATATTAAAGTTTCTTGTAGGATATCAGCTGGTGAATTTGTTATATAGTTCTTAGAACGAATTGTCTTTATTTATACAATTATATCCCAAGAAAATAATAAAATGTTTGGTAATACCCCCCCATAAGTTGATAGTGATATTAAGAAAACTCACTTGGGATTTGTTAGATTACTCTTAACACAAGTTACTGCATAAAGTATTGTTTCATTTCCTACCCAAAAGAATGGGTTTTTTAAGCTGGGCGCAGTGGCTCACGCCTGTAATCCCAGCACTTTGGGAGGCAGAGGTGAGAGGATTACTTGAGTTCACGGATTCGAGACCTGCCTGGGCAACTTGGCAAGACCTCATGTCTACAATAAATAAATTTTTAAAAAATCAGCTGGGCATGGTAGCGCGTGCCTGTAGTTCCAGCTACTTGGAAGGCTGGAGGGAAGGATTGCCTGAGCCCAGCAGTTTGAGGTTGCGGTGGCCCTGAGCATGCCATTGCACTCCAGCCTAAGCGACAAAGTGAGACTCCAAATTTATATATATATATATATATGTATGTATATATATATGTGGGTTTTTTAAATTTAAAATTGTTCTTATGATTGGTATATCCTACACTGAACTTTGTCAGTGGACCATCATCTGCTTTATCGCATGTTTCATTGGATTGTTCATACCTGCCTGTTTAATGAGAATGTTGCATAGTTTGTGTCTTTTGAACATAGGTTTTCTTTCTCTTGCTTCATATGAATCTGCTGGATTTTAGTATTATCTGTGTAGTTTGCTTCAAGTAATCCTTAAACATTTTTCTTTACCCCCCCACCCTTTTTTTATGAAAGGTTAACCTGTAAGTTTTTGAGAGAACACCATTAAAGCACCTCATGGTTTGTTTTCTGTTTGTATTTTTTCTCGTGTGTATAAATGTATTTATATGTATGTACCTTTGAATTGCAGAATGCAGTTCTGAGTTGCGCTTGTTTTAGCTCTTTGTAAGTTTAAGAACTTTCTGAATTTTGATGTTGAATATGTTTGCCCCTTTCAAAATTAAAGAAAAATAAAAGTAATCAATATAATGTGTTACCTATTTTGTGCTGTGCCTTTTAAAGAATAAAAAGATAATATTTTTTTTTTGTAATCTGCATAGCATATGTCATTGCAGTGGACTGTCTAAATTTCCTTTATTAGAATTTTAAATACCAGATATATGTCAAATATAGTATGAAGTTAGTGGATTGCTACCTGAGTTATCATCAGAGGTTTGTCAGAATGAGATTTGACATTGTAATTTAGCAGTTTTCCAATCCATTCATCGAGTACTATGACACTTAAAATTTGACAATTGATTTTTATGTCGGGCAATGAACGTCCACTGGTTTGTTTGGGAAAGTTATCCACAAAAGTTTTTAAGCGCCCCCAAAATTTGGATTAAATTCCCTATATAATTCCCAAAAAATGGAAATTGCTTATTTAAAAAAAAAGATATAGGGAAACAAAAATAAATTTTAAGTTTTAGTTTCAGAGAAGTGTTTTGAGACAGTTCAGATTTAATCACCTTTACTGATAAGCTCTTCAGAAAGTAAAACATAGATTTTTATTATTAAATTCTTACTGGCTTTTGAATGAAGATTCTCTAAATCCATCTATTTAATCGCTCATTTTATTGTTAACAGAATATCTTGACACTTGATAGAGCGACAAAAGCAATTCATGGTTTTTGGTGTTCTCTCAATCTTAGAGTTTTTTTTTATTCCTTTTGTTTTTCTTTTTCCAAGAGTATGCCATATATGTTGCTGCCCCTTATTTTAGGGGGTGGTAATAAACAACACTGGTGAAATCTTATGTTTATTATCATACACAAATTCTGTTGGTTTCTGTTTCTGAGTTATTTGTTGTTTTTTCTTTATTTTTTCTCCTTCCCCCTCATTTGCTCATGTCTTGGTTGGCGTTTGGTGGTGTATAACCGTGATTGCGTTACCTTAGCAATAACAATTGGTCGTCTTGGTTACGTTTGTCCTCAAGAGGTGGCCCCCATGCTACAGCAGTTTATAAGACCCTGGTGTGTATTATTCAATCTTTTTTTTTAAATTCATTTTTCTTCACTCTTTCTTTCTCTATCTCACTTTTAGATATATTTTCAGTTGGTTACAAAAATCACAATCCTTAATCATTGCCAACCATGTGACTAATCTTGTCCTATCAGGTTTGTGAGGTTTTTCAATAGCATCGTCATGTATATTTATTTTATGTTGTGGCTAACGACTAATTGATGCATGGGATAAGATTGTCACATGCTTGCTGTGTTAAAAAGCTTGATTATACATAAAAAGCATTTAAATATCCACCAGAAAAATAAAGATGCATGCATATTCTATAAATTTAGGTTTTTGCATTACGTTTCTTTTTTAGAATTAATTTGGAAATTTGGATTGCATTAATAAATACATGTTTAAATTTGTTATGTATAAAAATCTTATTTGCTTGTTAATGTAAAAGTTAAACATCTACACCATAAGTTATATAGTAATAGTTTATATTGTGGCAGTATATCCTATGTTCTGCTTCTTTCAATTGATAATCTTTCAACTCAAATCATTTTTAGTAGTGTTTAATGGAATACAAGTCATAATAATATAATATTGAAAGTTAATTTGATAATTTATTCTTGGCTGAGGCTCATTAATAGTTTAAGTGGTAGATTCAAATCAGTTGTCCATTTTATAGATGCAATTTGTTAAGAAAATGTGAATTTCACTGTTTATAATGATTAGATGGGCTCAACAAACAGGAAGATGAGAAACTGAAACTTCAGCTTTCTGAAGTCTTTACAATAGAACCATTATCTATACTGTGGTGCTTATTCCATTAAATACTGTCCATTGGTATTGTGATTGAACCTGCTTTTTACTTAAACACTGAATTCAGCTCTGTAATCCAATAGGTGCACCTCTCTGAGAAACATAAGAGACAATGAGGAAAAGGATTCAGCGTTCCGTGGGATTTGTGCCATGATCAGTGTAAATCCCAGTGGCGTAATCCAAGTAAGGTGTTTGCTTTTAACCTTTAATGTTTAAATAAAATTTTAAGAGAAGGAATATTTTGACACATAGAAATATTACATAGTTTTTCAAAGATAGTAAAACACAAATTAAACATTTAAAATATGTATTTGTTAGTATCTTGAAGTGGCAATGCCTTTTTTAAACATTTTAAAATGTTTTTTGTCATGAAATAAGATAGTGCTAGAGATTGGGGAAGTAAAGTTATACTCTTGTCTTGAATTAGGCCAGTGCCTCTTTCCATCACATTCAGACCTCATCGATTCACTTTGTACATGCCTCCCATCCATGGAATCTGCTAAATTTGAGAATATCTACATTTAAGAGTGACCAAATTAGTTAGAATACTATCTCTCTGTTACTTAGACTCAAACTTAAAAATCACACATAAAATAAAATACAAGCCAGCTATTGAAACTACTTTAATTTTGAGAACTTATGGTTTATCCATCCTTATGTTGCTTCCTAACATTTGTTATATTTAGATATTTTAATTATTTGGCAGTAGTATTGAGCAGTATTCCGGTCTGATATCTGGATCCAGCTGCCAGTTTGCTAGACCTACAAAATAGGAACATGTTGAACTATACCATAAGTATGCAGTGAACAAAATTCAGACTGTGGGACTTCAGGTTAAATACCTGAGTTTTTCAACAGATACATTGTAAGGAGAAGAAAGGATGTTAGGGTAGACTGTAGCTTACAGGAGATCCAAGATCAATCAAATCCGTTTTAAAATGTAGTGTCAGGGAGGGAAGCATGAAAAACTAAATTGTCTAGGAATGTACACTCAAGTGATACAACTTGAGTGATACAACTGCTAAAAAAGCTTTTATAGTAATAACTTTCTTACATTTCTGTATTTTCAAGAAAATAAAAACCTTTAATTTCCAAGAGAAAAGTGCATTCTTAAATTGAGACCTTTTGATCCTAAGTTTTGTTAACTCTGTTTTGGAAACATCAGCTACCAGCTTGCTTATAAAATTCAAATGGATATAGGTGGTAGATGTTGAAAACATTCAAATTAGTACTAGAAAATATTTTTTGACTGATTTTACACTCATAAAATATTAAGAACTTAACTATTAGAACAAGTTTGTGCTACTTTCAGACATTCCCTAGTTACAAAATAACCTCCTAGCATTAAGTTTGCTTTTTCAGTTCTTTGGAACTTGATATTACCTCAAATGTGTTTTATAAAAAGACATGTACTGTCTTTTTAAAAAGCATCTCCTCACTGGGATTTTTTTGTTCTTTATGAATTAACAATAAAAGCAGAAATTTTTAGTTTTGAATTTTTATTCACATACTTTATTTGGATATGGTTAAATTGAAATATCATTGGGTTTATTTGCATTTAAAATTTCAGTCACAAATTCTAGATATCTGTTTAAATTTTTAGTGTCAGTTGATGTTTGGAAGATATGCGGAATCATAATTTGAATAAACCATGCACTTTAGGCAAATCACATTTTAGTTACTTTGATAACTTACATTTTAGTTACTTGGATAAATGTATTATACACATCCTTTTTAGTATCAGTAAATTTTTTTTGTTGTTTTTGAAATTAGTAAAGTCTCTGAATTTAATGGTAAAATTTATAGTTGCCACTTGTGTTTTGACAGTTAATGTTTCGGTATAATGGTCAAAATTTGAGAAAACTTTTAATGAAATACTTAACAGCATATTGTCATCTTGTTCTCGTAGTTAGATTAGCCTGCTTGTCTTTTAAGTAATTGAGAATTGAGATTTTCTTCTTGTATGGGTTGGGTGTTTGTAATTAAACAACTTTTCTTCCAACTTTTGGTTGTTTTGCTTGTTTCTATCTAAAGATCGTTCTTGAAATTTAGATCTATTAATTTCTCTATTTCACATCAAGCTCATTTGGTATCTGTTTAGCTCGCTTTAAATTATTTCTAGGCCAATTGGAACTCTTAAGATTATTGATTTTTATGTTTTTCTTTAATTCAATAAAGGTATTTTTATGGGTTTTGACTTGGTGCTTTCCGTTGATTTTTATGTTTTTCTTTAATTCAGTAAAGGTATTTTTATGGGTTTTGACTTGGTGCTTTCCGTCTGTTGCTGATGCTAAACATAAACTACACAGGGGAGTATTTTGTTGTGTGATTCAGGTTATTAAATTCCAGTATAAGCTGAGGTTTATTAAATTCCAGTATAAGCTGAGGTTTATTTATATATTTTTATCTATCTATTTATTTATTTATTTTTAGATCCAGAGTATTTTTTTTCTTTCCTTCCCCCCCTCCTTTTAATTTTTACTTAAAATTGTGGGGTACAATTCAGGGCTAGGTATACAAATATTCACCATGCAGGTACCCTTAATCAATGAGATGTGCCCCCCCTTCCCCAGGCAGGTAAGGACTACTGTCACTCCCACCTCCCCTTTCCCCCTCCCCACTCCCCGCAGTTTCCTGCCACTTTCAGTCCTTTTCTTACAGTAATATGGCAGGTAGTTGTTCAAGTTCCACTTATGAGCGAGAACATACGACACTCAGCTCTTTGTTTCTGAGAAATTACTCTGGGGTTTATTGATGGTCTAATAGGGACCACTGTTAAAGGTGACCACTTCTGATTTTTTGTGATCATAGTTGACTTGTCAGTGTTTTGTTTTTAAAGCTAGGATTCTTTGTTCTGACAAATGCTCAGGTTTACATATATCTTTTGCTGAATTTAACAAATACAGTATCAATCTAAGATATATTTCTTATTACAGGATTTTATATTTTTTTGTGATGCTGTTGCATCATGGATTAACCCAAAAGATGATCTCAGAGATATGTTCTGTAAGGTAACTGATAAACCTTTATGATGTTTTGACTGTTAAAATCTTGGTGAAAAACTTTCAATTGTGTTTGCATTTTATATGAAACTTAGGCTCTCAAATCATTATTGGTAAATTACTTAATACAACCTTTTTTCTTGGCAACAAAGTTTGCTCAATCTTTTCTTATGATACAGCAGTGACACTATTTATAGAGCATGCACTTTGGAAGTATTTTCCCCAGCAGTACCACTAATGCATCCCACTTAGAAAAAATGGTGTATGGTCTTTAGGATGAGTGTCTGAGATTTGAGGTACAACCTGAAACTATTAAGCAGAGTACATCTAAGTGGCTTCCACATTTAAAAGCAAAGTCTAAGCATATGAAAGGGGACCCCCCAAAAAACCCCAGAATTTATTCATTAAAAATTGTGTATTCTTACATATTTAAACATCAGTCACCTTCAAAGTAATCTGTGTTTGATGCAATACACCTATTGAGATGCTTTCTCCTCTATTCAGAACAGTTTGAATTTGTCAATTTTGATGCCTTTTAGTGCTTTCTGCCTTTTTTGTTTGTTTGTTTCAACTGTTCCACACTGGCAAAACATTTTCCTTGGAGGAAATTCACTGAAGTCTTAATGCAGCCTCTCAAAACAATGCTCGCTGGTACAATGATGCTGATGAGTTCCTAGAACACTTACCTAATGGAGGGAAACCCGTAATACCAGGGGCCCACCCTCCAAGAGATAATTTCAGGTTTTTTTTGGGTCCCCCATATATTATCAGGTACTTCATGACAACTTCATGGAATGGTGTAGAAGCAAACACTGAGAATTACTACTTTAAAATGAGTAAAATTTAAAAATAATAAAATCAGTAGGGCTGAATTTTAGAAGCTATGTAGTTTTTCTCTTTTGTTATTGAAAAATTGTTTTTCACTCTTTACAGATCCTTCATGGATTTAAAAATCAAGTTGGGGATGAAAATTGGAGGCGTTTCTCTGACCAGTTTCCTCTTCCATTGAAAGAGCGTCTTGCAGCTTTTTATGGTGTTTAATCTAATACACTTAAGCTGCAGTCCCAAAATTAGGGGTAAGTTATGGGAAATTTAGAAATTTTCAGTGTCATGTATGACTAAGATTATGGAAGGGAAAAAAATTTCAGGATGAACTAAATTTATGTAGAACTATAATCTCAAACTGCTGAGTTACTCAGTATTAAAAAGCTATTTGTTATAAGGGCAGAATAAAATACAGGCTAATATTGTGTTATATTGTACTTTAAATTTAGCCCTTTGCACTTGGAGAAATCTCGCGGGTCATCTACCAACAGCTTGATAGCACTTTTTAACGAAATAGTGAAAAGCGAATCACTTCATATTAAACAGTATAGCATTGGAACTAATTATTTGTTTTAATGGTATTTGACTTATAATGGAATTTTGGACATTGAAGAGCTTATTTATGATATTTGTATCATATGTTTTTCTAACATGTGAAACAGTCAACAGCATGCATTGTAAGTTCATTGATACATGTTGTGCAGTGGTAACTTGCTGGATGTCTTCCACTCGGTGTTTTTCTATTCGAGTAGACAATGCAGTCTTGTTTTCTTCCTCCCACATTAATATGTGCTTTATTGTCTACTCTGTATACCACTGTGAAAGTACTTGACACATTCTCTTTCTATGTAATGCAGGTGATATTTTTCAACGTGTATCTCAGCATGTATATTCCATCTCTTTATTTGCTTGTTCATGCAATTTGAATGGAAATCTTCAAGGAAACGTACATTTTTGAAAAATTTGTGCTAGCATATGTTTGTCCTGTATAATCACCAACAATTTCTTGATGTGCCCTGAGAGGGGACATCCAAGTGGTTTGCTAGATTACGATGTCCCCCATCGAGTGCAAAGGGTTAAAATTACTTAAGTAAAGGCTAGATATTCATTTTAGATAAAATGAATGACTCCAGTTTGAATCCTAGGTAGAAAGAAGTTTGTGTTGGTACATTGGTTGAATTTCTCACTTCACCAGTCTTTTTTTATTATTATTGAGGATTTTAAGCCAGGCTCAGTGGCTCAGCCTGTAATCCCGCACCTTGGGAGGCTGAGGTGAGTGGATTACCTGAGCCCGAGGGTTCGACACCCGCCTGGGCAACTTGGCAAGACCTCATCGCTACAATAAATAAAAAAAATTAGTCGGGCATGGTAGCGTGCGCCTGTAGTTCCAGCTACTCGGAAGGCTGAGGCAGAAGGTTTGCCGGAGCCCAGCAGGTTGAGGCTGCGGTGGCTGGGAGTGGCCACTGCACTCCAGTCCGGGTGACAAAGTGAGACTCCAACTCAAAAAAAAAAATAAAGATTTTTACCCTGCACTCATCAGCATTCACAGTAGTTAGATAAAAATCGTTCCATTAGCCGGACTTGGTGGCTCAGCCTGTAATCCCGCGCCTTTGGGAGGCTGAGGTGAGTGGATTGCCTGAGCCTGCGGTTTCGAGACCCACCTGGGCAGCGAGACCTCATCTCTACAATAAATAAAAAAATCAGCCGGGCGTGGTAGCATGGGCCTGTAATTCCGGCTACTCGGAAGACTGAGGCGGAAGGATCGCAGGAGCCCAGCAGGCAAGGCTGCGGTGGCTGGCAGCGGCCACTGCACTCTAGTCTGGGCGACCGAGTGAGACTCCAACTCAAAAAAAAAAAAAAATCGTTCCATTTTCAAGCTTTAATTTATAGTCTCTGATATACTGAGAACTTTCTGTATTGTGAGCTTTAAGGAAAACCCAAGTAGAATTGAAACTTGGGCTTTGGCTTCATATTTTTCAACATGTTTTATTGAACCACCTACCATGTGTCCAGCACTTTGTTTTAAAATAGTTACTGCAAGGTCCTGTTTTGATTTGGGATGTTGGAGGCTTTTTGTACTTCAGTGGAACTAACAGTCCTCATCAGTTAACTTCAGTTTTGTCATTCAGTTATGCTGTTGATTTAATACTGAATTATTTATAATTCCAGAAGTTAGTATCTTGTCTAGCACCCTCAGTTGGCTCAGTAAAGTTTAGAAACATGGGCCAGTATATCGTGTACTGGGGTTTTGACATTCATCTTTAGGTTTTGAACGTGAACTAAGACATACTCGGCTGGAAGCCAGAGGATGCGCTGAATGGTGTGCAGAATTTGTGCGCCAACTTGAGTTGGACTTCACGTTAAACTGAAGTTTTGGGGCCGGGTGCAGTGGCCCAACCCTGCCATCTCACCACTCTGGGAGGCCGAGGTGAGGGGATTGCCTGAGCCCGAAGGTTCGAGACCCACCTGGGCAACTTGGCGAGACCTCGTCTCTACAATAACTCAAAAATTAGCCGGGCATGGTGGCGCACTCCTATAGTTCTGGCTACGTGGAAGGCTGACACGGAAGGATCTCCTGAGCCCAGCAGGTTGGTTGATGCTGGTGTGGCGGTGGGCATGCCACTGCACTCCAGCCTGGGTGGTAGAGTGAGACTCCAACTCCAAAAAAAAAAAAAAAAAACTGAAGTTTTTGTTTACTTGCTTGCTTGTTGGCTCTGAGCTAGATTTTAAGCCTGGCAAGATTTTACCATCCAAGTTGTCTAATGTAGAAGGCAATAGAAATGGGCTTGCAGCCTCTGGATTGTCTCAGAGTCCTTTGTGTGTGTTGTCCCACTTTGGTCTCGAGACCTCAGAGCTGTTTTGTGGCTTTGGCATTTTAGAAATCAGCTGGATTCACTTGATCTTAAATTTTGAGAATACCACAGATAAGAATGACTCGTAGCCTTAAGATTCAACAGTGAGCTACTAGTAAGTCTTAAGTGTGTGTATACTTACTACCTCTGTGATCTCATTACCAATCATGAATGAATTGTTGTAAGACAAGGTGTGAAATAATTCTCAGTGTTCTGATTAGACGTAGAAGTGAATCACTCACTACCTTTTATTTGTGCCTTTTTGCACTCGTCCCTTTTTTCAGAGGCAGGAAAAAGTGGGGTTCATTTGTGCCTCTCCACCGAGGATATTATCTCCCTCTACAAATTCACGTGAATGTTCTTAATTTCCAAAGTTTAGCATGAGGGGGGTAACAGAGTTTTGTTGAGAAAGCACCACTATATTAAGCAGTAGTTTAAATCTTCCCGGAATCTTATTTCTTAATGTTCTTTTTGTCATTAAAACTATGTTAGCATTAACAAAACTTCTTATCAGAAAAATCAAGCATTCGGATGATACAGGAAATAACCAAGCAAAATAGGGTGGGAATAATAACTAACTAGGAACATCAAGAAGGCAAATGTTGACATTTCCTTTTTTTTCCCTTCCTACCCTCTTTGGAGACAGAGTCTCTCTCACTCTGTTGCCCAGATGGAGTGCTGTGACACAATCACTGCAGCCTCAACCTCCTGGGCTCCTCGTGATCCTTCCACCTCAGCCTTCTGGATAGCTGGGACTACAGGCGTGAGCCACCATGCCCAACTAGTTTTTTTATTTTCTCTAGGGACAAGTTCTCACTGCATTGTCCTGGCTGATCTCAAACTCCTGGGCTCAAGCAGTTCTTCCACTTCAGCCTCCCAAGTAGCTAGGACTGCGGGCACATACCACCACACCCAATTATTTATTTTTTTTTTGTAGAGACAAGGTCTCACTATGTTGCTTAGGCTGGTCTCTTGGGCTCAAACAGTTCTTTCGCCTCAGCTTCCCACAGTGGTGGGATTACAGGTGTAACCCAACATTGACTTTTTAACATTTGCTGAGTGTGCTGACCCTGCTGTGGTAATGGACACTTCTGGTAACACCTTGGGTTAAACATCAGACAAGCCAAAATAAATAATGCTTCTTTATTTCTTGATTGATTTTGAATTTTTGTTACTGGGAATGCTGAAAAAAGGGAGCTTTTTAATTCTCACTAAGGAAAATGATTTCCTAAAGGAGGTGCTACTTAATTTTGAAGAAAGTAAGGCAATTTGTTACATAAGACATAACCAGTTCCTGTTGGGTCTTGTTTTGCAGTCTTGGGTTAAAGAATTAACAAAGCACATTTCAACTATACAAAGTGCCACACAGCTCTCTCGTGTCTCCAGTGTGCCCTCACTTTTTATACCTGATGCAGGTGACAATTCAGAACTCTAAGAGAAGGAAGAAGCATAGTTCTAATTGACTAGCATGTTTCTCTTTTTGTTTATAAGTAAAGATAGCATTACTATTTGATTAATTTTGTGTTCCACTGGCTTGGTGAGATAAGTGATTGTTAAAGATAAATTTTTTTTGTTGTTCTTTTTCTTGTAGGTCCTTCAGTCTTGGAGACTATGAGGGAGCCTCTGCACCCAGGGAAAATGTTGCCCTTTACAGGGGGGAAGGGTAAACCAGTAGGGAATGCAGTACAATCCCAACCCTACTGGGAGGGGTGGGAGGGAGGTGTTGCCGTCACTGTATTAAGTCGATGTTGGGAAACGTTTTAACATCTGGAGCCTTTGTGGGTGGAAATCTGTCTCCAATTACAACTCCGAACTGGATGTGAAGAAGCAAAAAAAAAAAAATCTATTTAGTCTGCTCACAAAACAGTACATTCTGGAATATTATGGGGAATTGTACCAAAACAAGAACCATATAAGTGATGCATAGGGATAAGAAAGAGGAAAAATTCTATAGCGCACAATGAAGGAAACCTAAGAATGGGGGTTACAAGCAGTAAAGAAACTTTTTTTTTTAATTTAAAGGTTTTCATATAAATTTTTCCACTTGGTGGGGCCTTGTTTTGCATGCTGATGAAGAATTAAGCAAAACTAATAGAATCAAAATCAGCTTGCCTTCCCATAGTAGAAGTAGGTTCTTGGAAGTTACAATTTAAGGTACCCCCCAAAAAAGTTGGAAGTAAAACAAAACAAATTTAAACAAGCACCCTGTGAAATGCCAAATGAGTCACTCCTTTTACCTTTGTGGGCGGGCAGGGAGGGAGGAATAAATAGGGTTGGGTGTATCAAACTAAAGATGACATCTTAATTTTGCATTAAACATTAATGTAGTGGATATGATTTGATGGTTGTACTTCATTAGATTTAATTTCTAGGCCAAGACGTCATTTTCAAAGTGCAGTTTAAGGTTCAGGCATGCATTCTGGCTCATAGTGATTGAAAGTCATTTAAATTAGTGGGAAAGTAGCATGCTTGCATCACATAGAGTGAGGTTGGTATCATTTACCTGTGTTGCGCCAGTTTGTGTTGCAGTTTACCAATTCAACATAGCCCTGCATTTAAAATTCCTTTTTAAGATTTGTGGATTTTATTTTTATTAAGAATATAGATATATAAAGTACTGTAGTTTACAGCTAGGCCTTGAAATATCTTTTTTAGGATCTGTTAGGAATAAGATTGATATTGTATTGTGTGTAACCTGCACAATGTGGAAAGCTGATATACCTGTGCAAAATCTTTGCCTCTGTGCTGTCAGTGTGATGTGCTTTCTGCATGGTTATATACTACTAGTGATTTTATCAAAACTTAAAAATTAAATTACATGGTAAAAGATCTGTAAAAGGCTACATAAATGTTAGTTGGCACATAAAGACAATTGTAGAAGTTGAAAAATGATTGCTATATTTCCATGTTTATTCCCACTCAACATATTGCCTTCTAAGCTTTCTTTTTTTTGTTCAAAGCATGATCTTAAAGATATGTTTGAGTTAATGGATGTAATGCAGGGTTCCTACACTGTATTGGCGCATGTTGGTGGCCCTCTGTGCCCTAGATGTTTGCACACAGGGTGCAAGTCAAAAGCTACAGAGTGAAAGTTGGTTTGGATCCTCTTCATTTCATTTGTTTAGCTTTTCTGTTATTTTCCTCTACTTACATGTATTCCTGTGAATAAATCCTTGTTAAGTTAACCCTTTACTTTTCCTTTCATGTGTATTTTCTTATATACTGTGAATGTGAAAACCTAACTGGTACACTTGATCTTGTGTCCATATGAAAGTGCAAGTCTTTATTAATTTGGATTGCCTGAGCAGTGTATCCCATGATGATGAAGGAAAATGGAGAGATTTTTCTTTTTAACTCTGCTGGTCAGAGATGAAGCCACACCTTTCCATTTTTCAATGCTGCATATTTAATCTGCAACAAAAATGTTAAGCCATAACAGCCTTTTTATATTTTAGTTTGTCACCTTTGCATTGCAGAATAAATACTGAATAACCATTTTTATAAGCAGTTGCTCCTCTTTGCATGGTTCTATTCTCTAAAAGTGTTGAATGATACTGCCATTGCACTGAAGTTCGAACTGTGTGTGTGTGAATTTATACTGTTTCAAAAAATTTCAAACGCATGGGAGCATGCAGAAAGGTTTTTGTTGTGTGTGTGTGTGTGTTTTTAAACATGTTCTTTCACCTCCTTTCCTCTACTTTGGCTTTGCAAATTTCAGTCTGTAGAGCCTGAAATTATTTTGTAACATCCAATTAAAAAACAAAACAAAACATAAGCTTTAAACCGTATGTGGCATTTTGATTTCTAGGACCATCGCTTCATTGGGAGCTCAAAATTTGCTTCCTGGTTAGTTTTTAATTATTGATTGAATAGGGTACCTATTTTATCCTTAAACTATAGTGATATTCTGTAGTACTTCACATACTTTTTAAGAGCTTAATATGAAAACTCTTTTAATATTCTGAAATAAGTAATATTTTAAATGAAAGAAATGGCCAAATTTTTCTCTAAAACGTAAAACAACTTTCAGTAAAGTTATCTGGACCTGTGATTGAAAATTCTATATTGGCTAAAAGCAGTATTGTCACCTGTCTGATTAAAAATTAGTTTCCAATTAGTCAGATGAATAACATTATAAGAATGTGACCCCTTTTTTGGAGTCACTTTGATGTGTTTTGAAACTTAAAGGAAATTATTAGAAAATAAAATTAAGTAAATATGACTGGCAACCTCAGATTGGGTTGGGGTTTTTTGTATATTTTTCCCCCCTTGAGGTTATTGTTTCTTCCTAATTTATACCATGTTTCAGATACATAGTATAGAACAGGAATTTGCAGAAGCCATTTAAGTTATCTTTTGAGGTAAGCCCTGATTTAGCATTTATTCTGATAAAACCTAATACATCATGGGATATATATACAAAGCAACTTAAGTCTTGTGGTATAGTCTTAATAGTTTTGACTGTTGACTGACTGTCTATGAAATTGTGAGTTTGTCTTTGTTACATTCCAGTGTTTCTGCCTCTTGGCATGCTTAAAGCACGGCTTACTTCATCTGCTCCTTACACACTCAAATGCTGTTAGTGTGCCCAGCTACAGAAATAGCCGCTGCTGAGTGATGTAGATTTTCTACTTGAATATTTGTATGTTGTAGGAACCTCAGGAGGTCAGTGTTTACTGTTTTATATATGCCTTCTTTTTCCTGTTTGAGCTTCTCTCTTTGAAGGATTCTAACAGAACAAAAGCTGCTGATCAACCTAAGTTGGAAACAGAAAGTGTATTTAATGTAATTTAAATGCATGTTTGGCAGTTCCATGTTAAAGTCCATTAGCAAGTGAATTTAGTGCCACAGGTATTCATTTATTCAGGAAAGACTTTTGCTTTTTGTATTGTCTAATCTCTTTAATGACTTCATATTGTGTAAAAAAAAAAATCACTTTTTTATATTTTTGGTTGGTTATTTCCCAGATAATCAACTTGTAAATAATCTTTAAGAGCCAGTTCTGATGCTTTACATTATTGCTACTTGATTTTGTTACGCAAGTTAGATTTCAGAAGGATAAATTTCAAAACACTTAACCAAGCCATTGCATCTTAAAGCAAAACAAGTAGCACACATTTTGTAATTAACATATTGATCAACACTGTGATTTTTTTGGTTAAGACTTTTTCATTGATCTGAATTGCTTAAATTGCATATATTGTAAAATAGGATCAGATCTATATTTTAAACTAATTTCAACTGACTTTCCTCTTGAAATGCTTTGTCTACTCAGTTATAAAATATTCAGATACAAGTTTTATCTCAGGTGAATACTCTTGTATCATTTTTGCTTTGGTGACATACGCTTATAAAGGGTTGTCATGTTTGTTTTTTAGTGTCTTTCATTGAGAATCTTCCCATTTAGGCTGGGTTTTTGTTTTTTCCTGTTATTCTAATAGACTGGGATGGTATAAAGCCCTCCTGTCAAACATTTTGCTTGCAGATTTACCTGAAAATGAGTAAAGTTTGGTTCTCATTTTCTCCAAATCTTCAAAATAGGAAAGTGGACATTTTTCTCCCCTATAAAAAATTATTGTGCTTAGCAGAAATGCCAGAATTAAACTAATTAAGTCTTAAGCTCTTAGCCTAAATTGTAAGTCCTTTGCCATGAGGAAAAAGTGATTTTTTGCTTCACATAGCTAATCTATATTATTCATATTGAATGTATTAACAGATAATGGTGCAAAAACACTCTTCCCAAGAGAAGAGTGTATCATGCATAACTGAAATTTAAATCCTTCCTTTGGTAGTACTTTAAAACACACAGCTTTGCTTACTGAATTATTTTTGCAAATTATACAAGGGTGGAAAACACTAACTGTTGCTAGTACTGTTACAGAAGGTGTAGGCTTGGAACCGCTTAAGCTTAAGAAAACTGTGGTCTTTGAGTTGCTAAAGGCCTGGGATAACCTAAATGAAAAATGAGATCAAGGAGCTGTGTTGTTAACAATATTATCTAGTACCATGCAATATAGCATTGTATACCAACTTAGTGCATTTTTATATTGTATTAAATATGAAGATACTTCTAATGCCTCTTTAAAATTAATTTTTACATAAAAGTTGGTTTTATTCACCTGTACACTTTCCAGGTGACTTGTGACTAATTTTTTGTCTTGTATGGATCTTTACCCCATTGGCATTATTTACATGTAGATAATTCTTTATGCCTAATTATTATACATCCTAATTTTTAAGGTATACATTTAAATTACAGCAACTGTTTATTGTGGTTTGTATCTCAGAATGTATTGTGTTTAAACAGATGCATAATAGTTGAATGTATGCATAAGCTTGAGAGAAGTTAAAATGGTGATTTATTTTTCTCACCTCTTGTATATTTTAAAACCAAGCCAAATCTGTTTGCCAAGCAGTATATCACTAAATAGAAAACCAGTAGTTTTCGCTTTATTAACAGTTTTTGTTTATCTACCATGGAATCTACTTATACTGTGGCTTGGTATTATGCAGGATTAGCTGTTTTACAGGTCTTACATCTTTCTAAAAGCCTACTATTATAACATGGTTAGCCTATAAGGCAGTGTTGGTCCCCTTCTAATACTGGCCTCATAAAGGGGTTCCACTGTACTTTCCTCATATTACTTTGTTGTTGTTTTCCTTTGTGAATATGTAACCAAATTGAGCTTGAGTGATTTTTACGGAGATAATTATTAGACAATACTGTATAATTAATTTTGCTTAATAGACTCATCTTGTGAGAAAAGATGTTTAAACGTGTTAAATGATTTCACTTCATATTTTAAAACAGTTTTACACTTAATATGTTAACATTGGGTGCAATAATTTAGTAGTGTTAGCTTTAGTTATAAATAACTGGATCTTTCTGCTGACAACTTAGGTTGTATGAGTTATGCTTAAAAGCTTTAAATCTGATGTTTCCTGTACCTGCCACACTATGTTAGAATGTGTCCTTCAAACATATCCTCCTGCAACTTCTCAAACTGTACTAAATTGATATTTCTTGAAGTCTAACTCTGTGCTAACAGATCTTCATTTTAAATAGAATACGGTTTTAATTTTTGATAAGCTGCTGAATTTTAAAGAGAGTTTTTTGGGGCCACCAAATATTTTGGATCATGCAGAGAATATATATTGTACTGTAGTAATTTTGTATTTACATTTGTATGATGTGACATAATAGATGTGAATGTTAATCACTGCTTGACTATGTTAATAAAGTTGTTTAACTATAGATGTTGCACTCTGATTTTTAATGAAAGGAAATGAGCTTTCTTTCTCCCTACCCTGTTTTGGGTCCAGGTAGGCCTTCAGTGTGTGTTTTGTTTTTTGTTTGAGGTTTTTTCCCCCTTAGCTTACACATTAGTACACTCTTGTTTAACATCATTTATTTTTTAAAATCAAGTATTTTCTTATTTGTATAGTGTAGTAAAAAACCATTTTTCCACACATTTTAACTCTGATTATTGATACATTTTAAACAGTTGATTCTAAGTTCATCTGAGGATGGGAAAGACACTGCTCTGCAAAAAAAGAATTAAAGGTGACATTGTGAATATAAAACAGATGTGAGAATAGATTGCATGAGTGTGTATGAATGTATGTCCTATTAAGGCTTCCTTTTTAGCCTTAAAAATTTTAAGATTTGTAATTTTGGAAATTAACATTTATAAAAGTAATAGTTTCCTCTTTGGGATGTAATTTATTAATACAGTTGCTTGTTACTAATTAAAATTAAACGTATTAATATATTTCAGGGACCACGTGTGCGTAACTGTCAAGTAGTCTTATTTGAGATTTAGAACACTTTTGAACAGGAAAGAGTCTAAGATGAGATCAGTGCAGCCCAAAAACAAAGAAGTGAGGCTTGGATATATTTGCCATAAATCTATTGTGATGATCAGAAAAGACATTTGGAACTTGAGTATCATGTTCTGAAACGCATCTTCAACAGCTTTAGATTCCAGAATTCATGACTTGAGTTGTGGAAGAAGATAACTAAAATCAACCTAATCATTAGTCATTCAAGATTCTAATTTGTTGCTACAGTCTTAGAGAAATTGTGCCTGAAGCTAAAAATCCTTTCTTAAGCCTTTGACTTTTTAGTGAAACTAAAGTCCTTTTGGTTTTATGCAAGCAATCTTTTTCTTCTCAGTTCCGGTGATTAAACCATCTTAGTGATAAATGAATAAGTCTGCCTTAACAGTTTTTGAACCGACAGGCATTTTTATCTTGTAATGAGTTGAATATGAGACAATTGATCAGTAATCTGACTGCAATGTACATTTCATGTGATTCTTTAGGAATGGTTGGAAAGGTGTCAGTTGGAATGACACAGCTTTGAGCTTAGATTTCCTTTGTGTACTAGACCGTGGAATATGGGAATTGCTGAAGCTCTCACTGTCATTTTGTAATCCTTAATCTCTGAGGCTTATGTTAACTTGATGTCAACCTCCTAAAAGATCTCCAGTATTCAGACAGACACAATCTGTAAATCACAATTGGAAGACACAGTTCCTAAACCATTGGCAAGACTGATACAAGTAAGAATTGTTATACTAAGAAGTTTTAGGCTTTCGGGCTAGTCATTAATGTAATTCATTTCTATGTTATGAAGAACTTCATTGTAAACAAGTAGTTTAAGAAAGACAAGTGAACAATCTGAAATGAATTTTAATGCAGCTACCCAGTGATAAAACCACTGTTAGTATTTTTGTGTGTATATATATAATACAGTGAATTTCCATTGTTTTCAGTTATATTCAGATTTCCTGTTTAATATGTACATTAACATACCTACATAATATTTTATTAGCAGTTTACACAACTGTCTTTTGGGCATTAGCAAGTTATTTCTGATTTTCCATTCTTAAAGTTGTAGCAAGTGTCCTCATGCTTATATGTTTCCATGCATCTGTTACGTGTCCATGAGAAAAAAGGACAGGAGATGGAAGGTGGTCCTAGTGGGAGAGGCTTGCTGTTTCCAGTGGGTTAAAGAGGTTCGAGAGGATGTCATGTGAGCAAAAACGCAAGGGAGTTGATCCTGTGGGTGTCTAGGGGAGAGTACTTAGAGGAAAGGGAGCAGTAAGGACAAATGCCCCCATTAACGTGTGTGACGTGTATTGCAAAGGAAAGAGGAATAACCTGAGCACCCAGAGTAAGGGAGAAAGTCGTGGATCTAAGATGTAACTGGAAGACCAGGTAGTGTTGGTTAGTATTACACTTGAGTGATGTAAGGGACCATTGCAGGGTTTGGTGGTAGACAAGTGGCACAAGCCGGGCTCAGTGGCTAAGCCTGTCATCCCTGCATCTTTGGGAGGCTGAGGTGAGTGGATTGCCTGAGCCTGCGGGTTCGAGACCCGCCAGGGCAACTTGGCAAGACCTCATCTCTACATTCAATCAAAAAATCGGCCGGGTGTGGTAGCGCGCGCCTGTAGTTCCAGCTGCTTGGGAGGCTGAGGCGGAAGGATCGCCGGAGCCCAGCGGGTCAGGGCTGCTGTGGCCGGGAGCGGCCGCTGCACTCCAGTCTGGGCCAGGGAGTGAGACTCCAACTCAAAAGAAAAAAAGGAGATGAAAAGTGGCGCCACCGATTCAAAATAGACTGCCATACAAAGGTGGAAGCAGGCAGACATCTGAGAAATGCTGTTGTGAACAGGGGGAAGTTAAGGGTGGTGGCAGGGAAGTGGAAGGTGGTTGGGCATCCGGATGTGTTTTAAGGAGGGAGAGACCAAAAAAGAGACGCCAGCATCCTGGACGTGGGTTGTCCAGGCAGGATCCCAGATGGCTCTCAAGACTTGGCCTCCTGGAGCCGCTGGAAGAGTAGCTTTGCCCTTGATCCGAAGAGAAACGGTCTGGTATTTGGTGTGAGCCATGACAAGTAGAGTGGGCAGCTGGAGTGCAGCGGGGAGAACCTCGCTGAAGGTGAAAACTGGAAGTTGGAGTGCAAGTGGTGTTCCAAACCAATGGGGCCAGGGCATCATCTGAGGAGTGAAAAAAGTAAAGGTGGCTGGGACTTAACCTAAACCCTCCAGGAGTCAAGTCTTAAGAGCTGAGTCAGGACAACCAAAGGAACACGGAGTTCCGGTATATATCATTGAGAATTGACTGCACATCTAACTAGCAACGTGAAGGTCACGATTTTGTCAGATTTAAGTTTGGGCTTCCATTTTGCTCAGGGCCAAGTTAAGTGATTTTGTTTTCAAGAAATTTGGAAGCTTGTGAAGAGTGAACTGGCCAAAGTGTCCTAAGATTACTTCCCTAAGTAACCAGCTGTGGTATCTAAATTTAAACACCATCCCCAAAAGATAAGCAACAGGTTTTTGTAACTAGACATTATTTTTGAGTTCATAGGAAAAAGGCAAGCCAGAAAAATTGTTAAAAATAATGGGACATAGCCGGCTCGGTGGCTCAGCGGCTCAGCCTGTCATCCCGCGCCCTTGGGAGGCTGAGGTGAGTGGGTGGCCTGAGCCCGCGGGTTCGAGACCCGCCTGGGCAGCGAGACCTCATCTCTGCAATAAATCAAAAAATCAGCTGGGCGTGGTAGCACGCGCCTGTAATTCCGGCTACTCGGAAGGCTGAGGGGAAGGATCGCCGGAGCCCGGCAGGCCGAGGCTGCGGTGGCCGGGAGCGGCCACTGCCCTCCAGTCTGGGGGAGAGAGTGAGACAACTCAAAAGAAAAAAAAAAAGGGACAGTGCTGATCTGTTGTGTTTTTTTTTGATTATGGCTGCAGGAATTGGAACTACTGATGGTGTGGCTCATGTCTGTGGTCCTAGCACTTCGGGAGACTGATGCTGGCGGATCACTTGAGACCAGGAAACTAACTAGTGGATGGCACTTCCGGTGGATTGTTTGACAAGCATGGAAACTGGGTTCTTAACACACTATGCCACAATTCTAAATGACAAAGGATTAAAAGTAGTACATTAAACCATAAAAATTTGGCCAGGAGTGGTGCCTCACCCTGTAATCCCAGCACTATGGAAGGCTGAGGTGGGAAAATTAATGAGTCCAGGAGTTCAAGACCAGCCTAGGCAACATAGCAAGACCCCATCTCTACCCAAAAAAAACATTGTTTAAAAATTAGCTGGGTGTGGTGGCACGTGCCTTTAGTCCCAGCTACTTGGGAGGCTGAGGTAGAAGGTTTGCCTGAGCCCAGGAAGTTGAGGCTGCCGTGATCCTGTAACTGCACCCTCCCCCCCGCCACCCAAGAAAAACTAAAAAACTTAAAAATACAATCTTAGTGATGTTGGCATTTCTAGTTAGTGAGACGAAACCCAAAGGTCTTAAGAGATGGGTTTAAAAAGCAAAGTTCTGCGTGACAATCTAAAAGCTGAGGGGAAACTTGACAGGCTCCTCTCTAAGTTACAAAGCACTGGAAGTCAGTAGGACAGCCCAGTAGAAAAGTAGGCAAATGATAGGAATATTTGATAGATAAAACTTAACTCGGTCCATTGAAATTAACTACCATTAGATCACGTGCACATGTTGGTAAAGGTCACCAAGGCTTGGTGACGTGCCTAGAGAGTACGTAAACAGATACTCACACCCCTAGTGGGAGTAAATGAGTACGTGAGGGGCAATGTAGAAAGCAACATTACTGTTTTATATATAGATATGTATCATCTGGCCTATAAATTGTCCCCTACGTACTTAACTCACTTGATAGCCCATAACAAGTAATAAGGTGCTAAATACATTGATATTCACTGAACTGGCAAAAATCGGAAACTCAGATGCTATAAGGATACATGACGGAGGAACAGGAAACTTCAAAAGCTGATTCAGTACAAGTACTTTGGAAACCAGTTTGCCATAACCCAGTGAAGTTGGAGCACTTGAATAGGTTAAGACAGTCCTCCCTACACCAAGGTATATATGTACCTTAGAATAACTTGGCATGTATGCTAACAAGAATATATCAGCATTGTAACAGCAAAAAAATGAAAAGAACCAACCTAAATATCCAATAGAATTGGTGAGTTTTAAAAATAGTGCCGAGTAAAAAGAAGCCAGTCTCAGTACTGTACTTACAGAGAAGTCATCTATGTGAAATTCAAATACAGACAAAACTTTAAAAGTACATAGTGATGCATGTAGACATGTACAAAATTAAGATGATTACATCTTGGAGGAAGAGCTGAGGATGCAATCTTGAGGGGTGTGGGTTGTGAGTACATGGATGTTCTTTTTGTTATCTAAATGGTACACAAATATTCATGTTTATTTCACAGATA